GTTTCTTACATTCTTACAACTTGTTGGGGTTATTTATTTTCTGTATTTATTGAACACAAAGAAAACTTAATCAACGTAACGTTTTTGTTTCTTTATTTATCAACAATGGTTATCTAATAGCCAACTAAGATTATGCACAACTGGGCATAGTTTTAACCCATCTTTGAATGATGATAAAGAGTGAATGGTGTGAGGTATTAGAGTACCTACTGTTTGCTAGATATTTCCCTAGTCAGGACCATTTACTGACATAATCATGACACAATGACAGTTGGTCCCTTGAAAAAATCTACAAACTTTTCTAAGGATCTAACTGGCACTATTTTGATCACCAAGTAACCACCAAAAGCATTTAGTCATCCAGCTATAAGTAATAAGAGTATATTGATTACTACTTTTTTATCCGTTACATGCAAAACAGATTTTCCAAACTTGTTGAATAAAGATTGCTTGATAAAAACTTCCCCAGACTTACAATACCTTTTATCCCCCTCCTAAGCTTCCCCTTCTAATCCATCACGCGTATCAAGGTAACGTCAACAGCACGGTAGTATCTCACGTCATATTAACGTCATCTTTAAACTAACACCACTCAACAACGTTGAAAAACGTTCCAAACAAATCTTGACTGGTTCTCAAAGGGGGAAATCTTGTTTTGACTACAAATACAAATACAAAGAGGTTGATTCTTTTCTGTCTATTGACCACTAGACATTAGTGAATAATTATGCACACGTTATTCGTGATACATTACTGTAATACATGTATTAATTTCACTCCTTGTGAATAAAGGATGCCATCATGACAATTATTACTTGTTTTCGATATATAACAGAATATTGACAACATACACCTAATTAGGTGTAGAAACAGTTTCACATGATTGCCTCAAACTAGTCTAACATAGCGCATGTAACAGAATATCCTAATCCATTCACTACATATGAGCAATCGGTTACGCCCAGCCCAAAAGGAATATCCCAAAGCACTTGTTTAATATTCAACAGCTAATAGTTCTGGGTATTCCAACCCACCAACAATGAATACAGAAGCGAAAATGTTCTCAGAACCGATTGATTCGTCATGCAAAGAAGCCGAACTGCTTTCTAGAAGTGTAGACAACGCGGTTTAGCGGGAGTGGCTGTATAATTGAAACTGTGAGATGGCAATCAGTCTTAGGGCGTAGGCTAACTTGTGGATATATGACCAATAGTTATCTTGGGCTGCTAAACAGCTGGGGTAGAAGTAAAATATTTATGGTAAAACTGATCTTTTAAGTTGAGTCTATTTTAAAATCATGGATCTGCGTGTAAAGTAATGTCTGGAAATCATATAAGTTTGTGTTTGAATGCTTTTATAGTATCTAGTTTCATTAACGGAATTATGATAAGTACGAAGGATCCAGTCAGTAGTACACTGTATAGTAGCTGAGTGTAATAGCTGTTGATGAACCAAAATATAGTCAATCCAATTCGGGAAAAGGTTTGAATGAAAATAGTTTGCAGTATGCACATTAGCTTAGGTGATGTTTTATGTGTTTTCCACACTAATGGCATTTTTATGTGTTACAAGGGAACTGTCAATGGTGATTTTTTGAAGAATAGTAACGTAACTAAATTAAAGAATCAGACTGTCATCGGAAGTTATTTTCTGAAATAATAACGCTGTACAACCAGAATACCCAGACAGGACTGACGATAATAAGCTCCTTATAGGAGTTTATTTCAAGACCTGATTCATAAAGCAAGTCTTACCTAAATATTTGTATTTATTTACATTAAGAAATATTTATGTATTTTAATAACACAGAATGTAAAGTATTACGTTTTATGAACTAAACCCAGTAAAGACTGTTGGATTAACAGTCAATAAAATATGTAATTGTTTACTTACATGTAAACAAATAGTATATTGATGTACAGGGTAAAATTGAACAGCAGATGTTAGTTTATACGGATGTTGTTTAAGGCTGTGGCGGTGTCGCTAGCAAATTGAATTCTGGGGGTTTGAGACTTGACCTTCTGTTTAACGTTTGAGCAGGGTCTCTAATAGGTGCAATTGGATAGCGGCAAAGCAATAAAACATTAATTTGATTGTCCAAAACTGGTGTGCTTCCCAGCTAAAACACAATCAAATTGATTTTGTATGATATTTATAGCAATTTTGTTGTTTTTTTCCTTCAATGTATCTGCCCTATAAAACCAAAACAAAATTAAAAATAGAAACTGGTCAAAATAGGTTTTAACCATCATTATCGTATAATTGTCGGTGCTGCAATGGTAATAATTTCTTCAATATGCCACTTGTATTTAGGGAAACGAATAATAGGCAATCAGATGAAGTTACATTTTTACATTCACGATACGATATACTGTGAAAACTTCCCAAAAAACTAAAGCTAAGCAATGATAAAATCCTAAGAATCGTCCAATAAATTCTACCTAAAATGAACACTCACGGTATTCCTTAATAGCTCAAACACATTCATAATAAATTACACATTTAGAATTAAATTCAACATCTTTAACATTACAAACTTTTTAATACAGCTTACGATAAGAAGTCCCAAGTGCAATGTAAAGTTAGAGTACGCCAGCTGACTTAACGCGATGTAAACCATTGTTAACGCACCAAAAGGATAATCAACACTCAGCTGAAGTGCGCGCCAACTCACCAATTTGGCGGGAAACTTCTCCAGTCGGCAATTCGAAAAGTTTCTCACTGAACACTAGATGGCTCTGCGCGTATCGTTAGGCTTTAATTGCATCTTGGCTGCCATTGTGCTCGGCAAACAGGCGGGTGAATGTTTCCAACACATGGTTTGGTAACGTTCTGTACCGTGAAGGGGGAAATACTGGGACTTTTCATAACTATCCTGCTGTGTTCTCTCCTTAGTAGTACTTTAAAAGTAGTAATAGGAGATCTGATAGCCAACAACTGGCGTCTTGTTCCCACCCACCCCTCCCGGAAATTTGGTTACCTACCCCAACTCCTAAAATTGTAAGATTGTTGCTATACTAATAATTGAACGAAAGGTACATTTTTTACTGGTAATGCCTTGGTGAATATTATAGCACCAACCCAACATTGGGACTCTAACATGCCATGGCTTGTTTAAGATTACCTATGAACTACTTCGTTTAACAACTTTCGTTGTCTATGTAAAACTTTGCAGCTGCCATGTTATTATTGGTTTTAACGCAGACTAACAAAAATTTCCGGAAAACATCCTGTCCCCCGTGGCACCGTCCCATCACGGCTGAAACAAAAAGGTGGCCTTCCAGCGAGCTGACTTCATCATAGCCTATAAAATCCTACTGATATGGACAGTAAAATGATTTAAAAGAGGTTTCTTTTAAAAGTTTCTAGTAGAAAGTCATGATGTTTCTTCTTAGTCGAACAATTTTTCAAATTGTTAAGCCCCATGATTGTAATATGAACGACATTTTGTACAATTGAATTTAACAAGTAATTACTGTAGTGAGGTTATTAATTGCTTTATTTACTTTGGAACACGCTGTTAATCAAAGGGGATTATATTGTATGAACCAATAGACACAGATTCACCAGGTCAATGTATTGCACTTTCCCGAACTTCTAGGTTAAAAGATCAACAAGAAGTGTTCACGACGGTTCCTTCATAATACAGGGTGACCGTTAAGTCTTAGGACGACTTCATAACTTTTAAACGACAAAAGATATCACAACCACATTTGGTATAACGTTACTGGAAATTGTAAGCTACTTTTCTGTGTACATGGTGGTCGGATATCACCTTTGGGGGTCAGAAGAAAATCTTTAATGACAGCCTATGTTGAGTTGTACATCATTTTAAAGGTCTACGTCAACTGAAAACAATGCAGCAAACCGCACTTCAAAATGTTGATTCTGCGCAAAATGGCAGATGTTCAAAGATTTTCAAAATTAGCCAATTTCTTTAAATTAAAACACTTTTTTAAATCTTTAAACAACTGTCATTTTTTAATGGATGGTCCTTTTGAAGTACGGTTTGCGGCATTGTATTCTACTAATTACCTAACATATAACTAAATAACTAAATAACTATATATAACTAAATACCTTTAATTTGATGTGCATATCAACCTATATGCTTCCATTCAAGATTTACTTCCGACTCCTTGTGGGCCGTCGCCCTGAAGAGTTATTTGGATCACTGAATGTGAAGTTATGGGGATCATTTTAAAGGAGATTTTAAGCAAAGAAGAATGCCGCAAACTGTACTTCAAAAGGTTGATCCTGCGCAAAATGACAGTTGTTTAAAGATTAAAAAAAGTGTTTTAATTTAAAGAAATTGGCTAATTTTGAAAATCTTTGAACATCTGCCATTTTGCGCAGAATCAACATTTTGAAGTGCGGTTTGCCGCATTGTTTTCAGTTGACGTAGACCTTTAAAATGATGTACAACTCAACATAGGCTGTCATTAAAGATTTTCTTCTGACCCCCGACGGGCCGTCCCCCAAATTTGATATCCGACCACAATTAACACAGAAAAGTAGCTTACATTTTCCAGTGAAGGTATACCAAATGTGGTTGTGATATCGTATTTCGTTTAAAAGTTATAAAGTCGTCCTAAGACTTAACGGTCACCCTGTATAATTCAACGTATCAGTACCGTAAACACGCATAAAACATTAATCACATTGGATCCCTAGTTTATTATGCCCTAATTAAGAACTAATAGGGTTTATGCCACAAATCTTATGTGACCAAACGTAGAGTAAATAACCAAATGAGCCTCCAATTTTGTGTTAAAAGTAGTTATTAGTATGTTGGTGCAATGGACTACGGTCCTATAGTACCGATGTCCAGAGGTCATATTGCAGTGCAACCACCAAATTCATCAGTTCAATCTCCCCTCGCCACTCGCTTTGCTTACATTAAACGCAGGTCCAAAGCCCATGTGGATCGGCAAATGCTAGGTTAAGACGGCGGCAACCTCTTGAAAAAAAAAACTTTGAAAGAATTATTGAGGACTCACAGTTTGGTTGGCGGAGTCCAGGTACCGAAGGCCGAAGTAGGCGGTCTCTAGAAGGTTGAGATGTCTAAACACCGTGTCTAGCACCTCCTGGCCCAAACTGGTGTCCTGGAACAGAAAATGTCGATGAAGATCCAGGAAATTTTACGAAAACTAAAACAAAGTTGAGCATAAAACTAATCAAGATAAAATTCAAGAAGACTCTTGCCTGGGAGGAATTTTCGTTATGTAAACCACAAGCTAGGTGCGTCGCCAAGAAGTATTACCTTTAAGCTAAAGCTAAGTTTGTTTCATAAAATCGCATATCAACATACTTTCCTAGAGATCTATCATGTATCAGCAAAGATAATTTTAAGGTAATTTTTATAGTAGTAAAAGCATTATTCGTAGGCCCAAATGACCATAAAATATAAAATGCTTAAATGACCAACTGAAGAAGACATAGAATGCGTTTTAACATACGTTTCACCTTATCAGTAATTTTAATGTAAATATTTCAAACTGATCGCATAAAAAATATATAAACCATCCCTGTAAAAATCATAACATATTACGTTTAAATAACATGGTCGCAAGCCTTTTCGTACATTTTTTTTTTAAATTCAATATGTCTATTTACTTAATTATCACTACGAAGTATTAAGATACGACATCTCATTGAAAAACTACTTTTTTCAAATACTGAGATATTAAACTTAAATAAAATTGAAACACATACTTTATCTATGAGTATACAGAAGAAACCGTCGTACTCAACCAACTTTCATTTGTACACACCTTGAACACACCTTGCTCGGTTGAACCAAAAGAATCCTCCAAACCTTTTACAGCACCGGAGTGATTAACCTAAGAAGGTAAGTGGTTGAACCAAATAGTTCGCCTCTTTGTAGCAACTGCATTGCTGCGAAACTATGCACTTCCTCAACTACTTAGATAATTGGAGGACGGTGATGTAGGATTAAGAGGAGAAGTTATCCTGGAGTCCTCAATATTGGTTTAAGGATCTTCCATGGTGGAATGAGGCAGGATCCGATTTGGAGCATCCTTACATAGACTTGCCTCTTGAAAAAGTCTAGGAGAATTTTACTTTTAAACTTGAGTAATTATATGTAATTTGTATTCAATTAGTGTACGTATAGGTAGTAAGTGGTTTAGCTCACCTATTAATCTGTTATTTGCTAGATCGATTCAAAGCGAGATTGTTTATAGCACTAGATGCGATGCCATTTTTGCTATTGGGCTATCGATTGATGATTCCATCTAGCAACAGGTCGACGTAAGCAACAAGATCAGGAGGAGGTCTGTTCCTTTTTTAAAAATGCCAATGACGTGAAATAACATGAATTTTAAACGAAATAACATGCTTACAACGAGATCTTATCTAGCACAAAAGTACCATATTCACGAAAATCCACTACTGGATACTAAGTTATTCAAAAGTTATACAACTATTTCAAACGATTGATTTTTCATTGCTACTTATCGATTTGTTACACTAAATACATTTTGTCTAATCAAAAGTATTTTTCCTGAAAATTTAAGAGAAATACCTTTTGTGTATTCTCTCATGAAATTAACATGGCTTTAAAAGAGTGTTTCTTCTAGTTTTCGCATTTAGAATCAATATTTAACTAAACATAATGCTAAACAAAATAATTTCGCAAATCAAAAGAGCATAATTTGGCTATATCATCAACTTCATACGAGATTTGCATTGAGCACTAAACGACATGTATGTAAAATAATTCAAATAATAAAGGTGTCGATATAGAATAACTTAATTCAATTGGTACAACTTACTTAAACGCATGGCGTTTTTGTTAGTCTAAGCAAAGATTACACATGCTACGCAAAGATTTTGCGTAGCATGTGTAATCTTTGGTCTTAGTTATAAGTGTCACCATTAGATAATAATTTTCAAAGGAAAATATAAAGCAATGTAATACAATATTCATCGTAAACTTGATGGCAGACGTTATCACTAAGTTTATTCAATATTGTTTATGGTGAGAAATTCACCATATTTTAATCTATAAAAATACATATTATACTCAAAACCTTACCGAGTCGATTTATAAACAATTTATCTAAGAAGAAAATAAATAGAAGAGTGAATAGCTACTTTCAACGATATGGAGTAAGATGGATGATTTCTCTTTCCTTCCTAATTCTTGTGATCCATCAAAAGACTCCATAAGGTTATTTATTTTACCATGACAAGATTTCCCCTACTACGAAACTCTTTGGCTGATTGAAACTGTAAACACAACATACGTTTAGAAGAACTTTGAATGGTTCGGATGGTTTTAACTGAACAGGCGCGCCTTAATGATAGTGCAATCGAGCGGGTGATTTTCTGACGGCAAATGCTTCGCAACTCGATGATCGACTAATTAATTACCTTTGACTTTATGCGATAAGTCAGCTGTTTTGAATTAAAACGTGAGCAGAACTTCCATGTGTTGAACATAGCAAATGTATAACGATAAGTCATTTGAAATCAAACAACCGACATTTAGACATTTCTTTGTGACCAAATAGTTCGAAATACAGTAGGTACGTCCTTTCATGTTGCCATAAAAACTCGCTGGATTTTCTATTATTGAAAACACCTTAATCTACGGGAGATGAGTTCGTCGTTGAACTTGTAAAAGGAATCGGTGAAGTTTCGGGTACGTTTATCTTTAATTTTCATCAGTTTATCTCCGGGGCAAGCCGCAATTCAACGGAATAGTTCAACAATAGTTAGTTGAATAGAAGCTTCTTCCGTACATTTGTTGTTGCAATGTATCCAAAACATTAACCCGTATATTTCCCTTGATCATCTCCTGAAGAAACAGGTTCAACATGGTTCATACTCTTGAAATAATAAAATATTTCTGAAATGGAAAATAAATGGCAGTCACCAAGATATTTAATCTATTTCGTAGGCAAAATCAAACAGATCCGACTGTCATTTTGATTGTGGAAGTAACCTTAACAGAAAATATTAATGAACTTAACTTCTCTTAAATTATGTTTCTTTCATATTTCCTTTGCATGTTATTTTTGAATACTTTTTTCGCAAAGATATTGACTAATGATTGAAAATTACATTTTCCAAAAGCTACTACTTGAAGTCTACAAAAAAAGAAGCTTGCTGGTCTAGTGGTAGAGCGCGGTATTCGGGTTTAAATCCCTAATCACCAATGGATTTTTATCCAAGCAAGCAATTCATAGCGTGAATCACCAACTAGCATCAAATACTAACAAAATTGACTAAACGTGCTCCAGCAAACACGAACAATATTGCGTATTTTTATATACAGAGGACGAATACGCATTTGCTACTCTTTACCGAAGCTATCTTATCCTATCTTCATCTTCTTACTAATATTATAAATCTGAAAGTTTGGGAGTTTGTGAGTGTGTTTGTGTGTTGATCAATCACGCATTAACTACAGGACGGATTGGGCTGAAATTTGGCATGATGATAGTTCCGATTAACATTTAGGCATATTTTGATCTCAAAAATCCTTTCGGGCTCCCCCCCACCCAGTGGCTCTGTAATTCCCCATGTTAACCTTATGAGTAGGCCTACTTATATTTAAATGGAATCAAAGAATCTTAACTGCTGGTTCAACTAAACAATTTGATTCTGTGATATTCTTGTGATATATGTTTACCAACAGGGTGCAGCACTACTTTTTTATGTATGAAAACAGCTAAAATCTTAATTATTTAGATCAATGAATTTCAAATAATAGAAATCGTAGGCTCAACAGTGTGTATTTAGAGCACACGTACACACACACACTCATGTACACACACACACGCACGTAGAACGTATACATTGCATTCAGACGACCTGGTTACCTGTATAGTAGAATAGGCTGTATTCACGACGTAAGTGTATATTGAAGACGCGTAGCATCTCTCATCTGTATGCTAATACTAGGATTGTTCCCCGATACGTTCTCCTGAGTTAACAGATACTCAAGTTTGGTCTAATCTCTGGCATTCTAGACGTATATCTGTCACATGTTAGTTTACTTGTAAATATTTAAATTATTATAACTAACAAATATTAAATTATACTACAACTTTAACTGCAATGACTACTCAAAATAGGGGAAGTTCTCTCTTTACATGGAAAATGTATCCTTTTAGTTGTCTAGATGAGTTGACATGTCGCCTAGACACAAAATTGAAAACAATAAAAAGAGTTTCTTTCCCCGATAAACTAAACAATAACAAAAACAACAATAACAATTAAACAAAACGTGCATTAATCTTAATTGTACAGTACTTTACAAGTTTTGTGTATTAATTCTACTAAAATGAACCACCTTTAGTGCGTAAAATCTGTAACATTTAATCAGAGAATGGCCTAAATGAATTAAAATATTTAATAAACTGAAGTAAATGATACAGACGGACAAATTGTAAAAATATACTAAAGAAATGAAGTGGATGATTATTTGGAATTAAACTTGAGCTCATTTCATAATTGAATTAAATTAAAGTGCTTGGAAAAGCTTGCCAGTTAACATCAAGAGGGTTTACATAAACCTGAAAAGAATCCGTTGCCATTGTGGACCAAGAGATTATAACAAGTAGATATTTCAAAAACTCCTCAACTCTGATTTAATGTCTTTACTTACCTTCTAAATAAACTTTTGTGGAAAGAGTTTTCAGACTGGCTTCTATTCTTTTAAATTCTACTCTTGGTAGCTGTTTAAATAAGTTTATTATTTGTATGAGTATCATCGTTTAGTTTCAATGCGTAAGGTACTTAGGTATCAAACATTCAGTGTAAAAAGTGGTATAAAGTCAAAATGATTAAGTTATAAAATAAACAACAATATAATGATTTCTAAGGCAGCAGTGATAGAATCAATTCGTTGATACTTTATTGACTATTTTAAAATGTTCATTCAGGTATCTATAAAATAAAAGTCTGTAAAAAATTTAGATTCTAACATGTTTATAGTAACAGTTTTAGTCATTTATTAAAAGGCCATTTTCGTATAAATAGGGTCGATATTTCCTGAGTGTTTGGACATTTACGTTCTAGCACTGTATCTATAGATTTAGAGTTTGTAGCACTATTATCTTTTAGAGGTCGT